TTCTGGCAGCCCCTCCCCCACTCCCACAAGTGCCCCTCCCCCACCCCGGGGGGGCCCCTCCCCCCCCTCCAAAAGCGCTGCCGAGCTGCCCCTCCCCCCACCCACTCCCCCCGCGCCCCTCCCCCTCCCCCCGCAGCGGCTCGGGTGTAATTACGGGATTAATTAATTAATTCAGTAATTAATTCATTACTTAATTATGGACATTTTATTTGCAAATATAACGGACCGGAGAAGGAGCCCCCGAGTGTGCAAATGAGTGTGCAAAGGGGGGGGAGGGGCGGGGGGAGGGGCGGGGAGGGTGAAGGCAAAAACCGGGGACTTTCGGGGCGAAATTCGGGGATTTTGGGGGCGAAAATTTGGGATTTGGGAATGAAAATCGGGGATTTGGGGTGAAATTCGGGGATTTTGGGGTGAAATTCGGGGATTTTGGGGTGAAACTCGCGGGGTTTTGGGGGAAAATTTGGGCTCTGGGGGAGAAATTCGGGGATTTGGGGGCGAAAATTGGGGGGTTTGGGGTGAAAATTGGGGATTTGGGGGTGGAGATCAAAGATTTTGGGGATGAAAATTGGGGATTTGGGTCACCCGGGGTCAGGGGGGTCACCCGGGGTCAGGGGGGTCACACGGGGTCGGGGGGGACACGGGGGTACTCACTCCCAGTATGACCCCAGTATGACCCCAGTCACCCTCCCTGTGGCCTCAGTTGCTCCCAGCACGGGCCAAGCTGCTCCCACTGTGATCCCAGTATGATCCCAGTTGCCCCCAGCGTGGTCCCAGTTGCTCCCAGTTTCCCCCAGCACAGATCCAGTCGCTCCAGGTAGGATCCCGCTCTTCCCTCCTGACAGTCCCAGTCAATCCCAGTTGCTTCTCTTGTAGATCCAGTCAATCACAGTTCCTCCCAGTTGCCCCCAGCATGGTCCCAGTTTCCCCTTCACGCAGTCCCAGTCACTCCCAGTGTGCTCCCAGTCGCTCCCAGTGTGCTCCCAGTCGCTCCCAGTGTGGTCCCAGTCGCTCCCAGTGTGCTCCCAGTCGCTCCCAGTGTGCTCCCAGTCACCCCCACTACGGCTACAGACACTCCCAGTATATCCCAGTATAGCCCCCAGCATGCTCGTAGTCCTTCCCAGACACTCCCAGTTGCCCCAGTAACATTCCAGTTTCCACCAGTATGATCTCAGTGGCTCCAAGCCACTCCCAGTATACCCTATGTGGCCTCCAGTTACTCCCAGTAGCCCGGGGTGTGGTCCCAGTTGCTCCCAGTATGGTCTCTGTTGCCCCAGTTCTGGTCCTGGAGGGTCCCGGTGTGATCTGACCCTGCTCCCGGGGGGTCCTGCTGGGTCCTGGTGTATCCCAGTCCATCCCAGTCCACCCCAGTCTGTCCCAGTACATCCCAGTCCATCCCAGTCCATCCCAGTCCACCCCAGTCCATCCCAGTCCATCCCAGTCCATCCCAGTCCATCCCAGTCCGTCCCAGTCCATCCCAGTCCATCCCAGTCTGTCTCACTCCATCCCAGTCTGTCTCACTCCATCCCAGTCAGTCCCAGTCCATCCCAGTCCATCCCAGTCCGTCCCACTCCATCCCAGTCTGTCCCACTC